CAAGTCCTGCAACGTGACATGGTTCATGTCCTCATGTTGCACAGATGCAATCTAGCAATTCTCTGCTCTAACTGGGTCTCAGATATTATGATAGGATATTTGGAGCACTCTATATGAAACATTCACATAAATCTTTGATTGCAGAAAGAGTTTGGCACTTACAAAAGTACATGAAATCTTTAAAGAATACACACCCACCAAATGTTTCTTGCAGTTTCAATACACATAGAGCACACTCGTATAATTACTAGACTTAAAATGACAGAACATCTATCTTTGAGTTACTGGAGCTAAAGCCTTTTTAGATTGGAATCAAGTTTAGAGAGACAGAACCTATTGTTGGAGTGACTCCATCTCTTCCTTTCCCAAACCGGTCCATTTCCCATCAAAGATGCCTCGTCTAAAAGTGGAAGTATAAAGCTCAATGAGAAAAGGAAACTGCAACAATACAAAGATAATGACTGGAACACCAGCAAACAAAGTTACTGGTATGGTTATCCACAATCGACCTTGTAGCATAATGAAAAGAGCAACACAAAATGCTACCATCATTGCTGCAATAGAGATGAAGAGTGAAGATATGCCAACAATCAACTTCACGGGTAAGGATTTAAGGAAATCTTTATAAGCATAACGTGAAGTAAGAATCCCCAAAAACATTAGCACCGAACTAGATGCAGCAAAAAGAGAAATTGCATCTGATGCTATAAATATCATGAATGGCACGGTTGGAGAAGATACTGTAGAAGAGTCTGCTGTTTTGTTCAAAAATATTGGGAAGCCTGTATTTTGATCATTCCCACCAGGAACAGTAAAAGCCACAGCAAACATAATTGTAATGATTAGAGCACCTACGACTGTAGAAGATTCAGCTGTTTTCTTCAACCATTCTTCCGCTTCTTTTAGCAACGGCTCGTGTTCCTTAACAAACACTTCGGAAGGAGTTTCACCACCTCTCTTTTGGGAAGGAGCTTCACCACCATTCTTTTGGGAAGGAGTTTCACCACCATGATTTTTTTGATGGTTGTAGAACTGTGGAACAATGCCTTTCACTGCCTACATTAATTTCAAAATATTATTCTAGATGTTTAGTGAGAAACTCATTATTACTATACAGAATTAATGGAGCCACATGTGACATCAAAATATAAAATTTATTAATTGACAGAACATATAAAAGTATGAAATGCTTACCTGGAACCAGCGTAGTTCACTTTGCAACTGCAAAGCTGCACCTGAGATGTAATCAAGGTGAGAACGAGGTGCTAACTTTGCTGCTAAATGTAATAAATTGTTTCCATCTCGAACGTCGGTAAAAACTATATTTGTACTAATTCTTGCATTAAATTCATAAAGAAATTGTGCCACTTTCTCTTGACGATTTGCTATAGCACATGCAAACATGTTCCTTGAATCTTCAGGATCAGTACGGTTCCATAATATATTTGTATTAACTTTTGCAATTGCAATTGCAATCTCAGGGATGCCATTCTTGATAGCTTGAAAGGTTGCTTCCACTGCTCCACTTTGCACAAATTCACCCTCATCCAAAGCTGATAATTTTCGACATATAAAACGTATAATCTTACGGCCAAGTGCATCCATCAACTTTAAATCATAAATATTCTTTGCTGTTGAAAAAAAATATTTTGCTTCAATTCTACTAATAAGAATTAAGAACAAAAGGCCGAAAGAAAAAAAGAAAAAAAAAAGACTCATTTGGTGGACATTATTGTTTTTCAAAAATTTCGGATGTTGAGACCGATGTTCTTGTCATGAATGAGTTATATTTATAATTTTTTTTTAAAAAAAAAAAGAAGTTATTTCATTGGTATAATAAATGATTGCCTTTTTATTTAGTCAACAATCTCTACAAAAGTTATTAATGAGAAAAGGGAAAGAAAACTCATAACTACTGTACCTCTTCGTTGGGCTGCAACACTGCCAACACCATCAGATAGAACACGTGCTTTATCCACCTCCACTCTTGTACCTTCAGTTACAATTGCAATAAAAAAAATAGCATTTAATACACTAAAAAATTCACAAAAGCATATTGGAAAACAAACAAAGATGGCATGCACAACATCCCAAAATACTCTATTTTTTAGCCCAAAAATATATTAAAAGAGAAATTATGTTAAAAATTAAAGGGATAAAGATAAGCGACACTAACAATTATACATCCATTGTCTCCAAAATGCTAGCTGATTTCCTCTAATGAATGGTGGTGGTGTTTGAGCAAGAGTTAAAATGATCGAATCGGTATCCTTCTTAAAGATTTTATATATTGCAAACTTTGGAAAGCGATGAAGGAGATCAAGTGCAATATCTGATACATGTCAAATTAAGTTAATTTGTTATAGAAAAATGAAATAACAAAATTAGAGAAAGAGAAGATGAATGTTAGAGTTCTTACCAAACATTTTCTTACTTATACACTCTTCGAGGAGGTAGAAACCATAGTCTCCATCTAGACATTCTTGCTGCATGGTATTGCGGTAGAGGTAGCGAGTCATGTCCTCATGGCCTGCCCTGCACGCCAATTGAACCGGGAGCATTTTGTCGCCATTTGCGATAGTAAGCAAGTCCTTTTTCTTTTCAATCAAGCATTTTGCAATTTCCATCATCCCACTACGAGCAGCAAAGGAAAGAGCTGTGTTGCCATTCTCATCTGGTGTCCTCAAGTGGTCTATGTTTGCTTCACTAGCAATAGTAATCAATACCGTAGCAACCATTAGCTGACCAGCAGTAATTGCAATCTGAAGAGCAGTTTGCCCCTTTTCAAATGTTGTAGATATTGCATCTGGCTTGTTTTGAAGTAAGTCTCCTACTTTCCAAGAATTCCCTTTGTAAATAGCATTAAGCATGGCATTTGCAAATTGCTTCCTTTCAAGATTATTTGGATCTGGCAAGCCCATAATGGTGGTCATAAGGCAATAGCGTGTGTAAGGTGTAAACTAGCTAGTTCCACTTGTTTGTATCGAGAGGAAGAATGAATAGTTTATAGATTACACAATATATTTATTAAAAAATTATTATTTTTTAA